GTGGAGTGCTTTGGACAAAAAGTGTAATATCAAACTACTGCAGGGAGTTCAGCGTACATGCTGCTTGGGTATAAGTGGTGCCATGTGTACTACTTCAACCAAGGCTCTGGAAACGTTGCTAGATATTCCACCCATTGAAACATATATAAGATATGAGGCGGCGCTTACAGCCGAACGGCTCTTTACTTTAGGCGAACTGGCCAAAAACGGTTATAGGACACGTCATCAATGTATACTGGACACATTGGAAGGTTATACACATTCATCGGACGTGCCTGATCGCATACCAGACACTGAATATGTCGGAAACTTTGAAACGCTAATCCCAGATAGAATGTCTTGGTCAAGCGGAACATTAGAGCAAATACCAGTAGGAATCCGTTGCTACACGGATGGCTCTAAATTAGGGGACAAAGTGGGTCTGGGGTTCTATATTGAAGACCCAGAAACAGAAATATACCACCGTTTACCTAATCATAACACAAGCTTCCAGGCAGAAGTACGAGCAATAACGGAATGTGTAAATTGGATTAGAATAAATATGGCGCCCACAGGGCTTAATATATTTACCGACAGCCAGAAGGCAATTTGTGCGATATCAGGTGATAGAATTAAATCTAAGACTGTATTGGATTGTAAGAAAGCTTTAACTGAATACTCTCCCAGAGGTAAGGTTCACATCATATGGGTACCAGGCCACTCGGGAGTAGTCGGCAACGAAAGGGCGAATGTAATAGCTTTAAAGGGAAGGGAGCTCGATGTAGTTAACCTGACAAACGCAAAACCATTCGACGCAACAAAAGCTGAATTAAAAATATGGATGAGAGAATCCCATAAGGCCTCTTGGAATAATGAAACGGTGGGTAGAACCACAAAGATTCTATGGGGTGACCCTGATGAGAGCAAGACGAGAAATCTTCTCAAAATGAGCAAGTCTGAGGTTAGTATGATGGTACGTATTCTCAGTGGACACACAGGATTACGAGCACATCTATACAAAATTGGACGTGCGAATTCAGACGAATGTAGAGCATGTGGAGAGGACAGTGAAACTCTGGAGCACTTTCTTTGCCATTGTCAGGCATTCGTCGAAGTTAGATCCAAGTATCTTGGAAGTGATGTTATTCCAGAAATAACATTCTTAACCAACACCGATTGGAAGATTCTTAGGAATTACGTCCAGGAAACTGAGTTTCTGAACATGGAAAAATAATACATTCAGTGAACAATTTTTTTTTTTTTTTTTTTTTTTTTTTTTTTTTTTTTTTTTTTTTTTTTCTTGAATTGGAGCGCACAACAGGCCCGATAGTGGCCTAGGTGTATTTCTTCGGATTTGATGTAGTATACATCCTCCTATCAACCTACCTACCTACCTAGTATTTAATTTTGTATTTTTTAGCTCAATTTTATGGAGTTGGTCAGATGAGTTCCTATTTGTATCGAAAATTTTAAAATGTCGACAATGAGTGAGAGGTAAGCCATTTAATATACAAAACTTGAAAAACAATGCCCTGGTTTTTAAACATTAGCGTGGAGGGTTATCAGCATTGGTACATTATTCAACTTTAGGAGCGGGAATCTTAGTGAAAATGGAGTAAGTAATTACAAATAAGCAATACACGAGCATATTTAATAAAAATCCTGAAATAAATGGCGTTAAAAATGGTCTTGGGAGATTTCATGTCTCAACAGATTCATGACTTCAAACACACAACAAAAAATCGTTATTGTACGAATAAAAACACTGAAAAATTGGAATAACCTGCTCAGAGCACCGCCCTAAATCCAATAGATTAATTTTGGACCACAATTGATAAAAAATTCTGATGAAGTAGTGAATAAAAATGGATTCATTTTGAAAATAATCATATGCGGGAAAACAAGAGGAAGGGAAGGCGATTGGGAATAATAATGGTAAAAAAATTACCATAATGGTTTAAGTAGATCCAAATATTCAAAACAGAACCAAAATAGATACAAAATTTTGATATACAATAAATTTAAATAATGGTATATAAAATTTACACTTTATTTTGTCCGACAAAAAAGTGAATTTACTTTAATTTTTGACGTTATACAGAAAAGTTTTAAGTACAATAACTTTGTTTTATTGTTATTTTTGTAGCATTGTATATTAACTTAACGAATTTAAAAATTTTTTCTATATTCAATAATCATTTAACAGATTTTTCGCTGATAGAATATAGTATTAGTACTTTTGCACTTTATTTTGTCCGATAGTGTATGTACAAGGTAAAAGGTCCAATTGATCCATTTTTATATACGACATTGTCAACTACCATAACAAACGTTAGGTTTCACTATTAAACTATTTGTTTGCTGAATAAAAATAAATTGCGCTGATAGAAACAAACGTTTCAATGTAAATTGTTTTTTGCTTCTCCTGTAAATTTTTTATGTTAGATAGGGCCGTTTGCGTTTTAGGTGACGATATGTATGTATGTATATTAGACCGACTCACAAAAAATGGTGCTTGAGTTACCCCCCTCAAAATATTCGATGTTTCCCAAAATATTTTGGGTTCAGAGTTGTCCGTTCGTGAGGTGGACAGTTTTCAAGAAAATATCCTATGGGGGACACGATTTTTCATATTCAATTCAATATTTTATCCAGCTTTAAAAAATCTTTGTTTTGTTTTATGATTGTTTCCAAAATATTTTTAGTCTATCGATGGCCGTTCGTGAGCTGGACCGATTACAAAGTAGTCCCTTTTCAGATATTTTCTTAAATTTTACAGTTTTTTTCTTAAACAAAATATACGAAAAGTGGTATCATTTGAAAGGTTTTATGAAGTCACGTCTAGTGGTGTGCAAATTTTACAAAATTGTGTATACACTTTATTTATATTAATGAAAAACCTAATTTTAAATTTTTTTGTTTTATACATCATTGGACGGCGCTTTAAAATCCCTTTTAAACGATACCCCATATTGGATATATTGTTTCAAAACAAAACTAAAATTTAAAAAAAAAATATTCAAATATCTTTTTTTAATTTGGTCCAGCTCACGAACGGCCATCGCTAGACTTAAAATATTTTGGGAATCATCATAAAACAAAACAAGGTAAATTTTGAAAGGGGTAACAAAAATGCGTTTTTGCTTTCCATACACAGTGAGTCGGTCTAATGTATATACAAACCTTATGTATAAAACAAAGTACAGCTTTAAACATTACGTGTTGTTCATGCTCTTAGTTTTTATAAAAAAGCAAACGAAGTACAAGAACAACGTATACATGTATAAATCATGGTCCGAACTTTTTTGTCATTTTCAAACCATTATAAAATTTATAGTTATGTTGTATTAAAAAACTATTGGTACAGAAATTATCGTGATTATCTCTAGTTAATATATATATATATATATATATATATATATATATATATATATATATATAGATATATATATATATATATATATATATATATATATATATATATATATATATATATATATATATAGATATATATACATATATATATATATATATATCTATATATATATATATATATATATATATATATATATATATATATATATATATATATATATATATATATATATATATATATATATATATATATATATATATATATATATATATATTAGTTTTATTTTAAATAGTGCATTTTTGTGTATTCCAGAGGTTTCCAATTGTAATAAAACTTTTTCAACATTATTAAGAGGTTTTAAATATCCTCTGAATCTTGTGTAATTTTCATTTGAAAATGTCATTTAATGGATCAGTTATAGGAAAATAGAGTAACCTTCTGCGGTTAAAAATGACCTTAAGTCGTTCTTGTCATTTTAGAATCGATTTCCAACATCGACATCTGGTGGATCCAAAATGGAATCCGGCACAGGCGCTGGAGTTTATTTGGTAGATTCCGATATAAATGTGTCGTATAGACATCCGGATGAATGTTGTGTTTTACAGGTAGAGATCTTAGTGATCTGGAAGGCTGTGGAATTTGTTCCATATTTGGAAGTTTTTTTTTTCATTTTTCGCACGAATTAAATTTTATTAAAACCTTTTTCTTTTTATTTATGTAAATGTATGTAAATAATAGGGTTTCAATTATTCGTCTTTAAAATTATGAAATTATAACATATATTTATATTTAGATTTGTTTTACAAAATATTAACATAATTTTAATGTACATATCGTCATCTGAGATGCAAAAAGGCGTAACAACCAAAAATTTTAAAATCGACTTTTTGATTGAAAATGGACCACTGCATCAAAATATATGTTGTCGAAAATTTTTAGAACTCTATGGTCAAAAACTCCGATTTTATTGACATGAAATTCAAAAGGACGTAAAACAAATTAGTGATTTCCACAAGTCTGAAAGTCCTAAAAAGCAATATAATAGAAAATGTTTCGCGGTACAGTCATATTCAAACCTATTTATTGATGTTTGGAGATACATCTTGTAAAAAATTACGTTTTTATAGAAACAATTGTTTTCATTTTATTTAGTTTTTTGTCTCTCCTGTAAAATGTTTAAGTGTTGTTACGCCCTTTTGCATTTCAGGTGACGATATAATAAAATATTCGTAAAAAGTTACATTCAAATATTATTCAAATATATGTATGTATTGTAGATTTTGATTATATTGTAGAAATGACAAACGAAATCTCACGAAGGTGAATGTTATAATAATGTCAAGGTTTATTGGATTACATTATGTCAGTATGTCAACCATTAAAGTCTATACTTATACTAGTGTGCGTCCCTACCATGTTGCCTATATTATTTGAAATTGTCAGCACAGGGAAATTTCTAAGAGTATATTTAATAATATAATCTAAAATTTGGATTCCGAAGATATATGTGGGCTTTCAAAAAACTAATAACGTGGTTTTTTATATCTTTTAATGCTCTGTTCGACTTTGCTTTGTCAACTTGCATATTTGCAAAATATGTCAACAGTTATATCGCTAATGTATATGCTATGTAATATGCACTTACCAGTGATGTTTGCGCATTGTGAGAGAAAATTTAGTGTTGCATTCCTGACAAAGATCAGATTCTGACCATGGTGATTCTTGGGGTAACTGATCTAGAAGTTTATGCAACAATTGATCAGTGGCCAACTTAAAGTTAAATATACTTATGCCTTCGCGATTTTCGGTGCCTAAACAAGCCCCGTTTTTCACGAGCACTTTACAAAGCGGCGCTTGTCCACGCATAAAAGCTAACAACAGCGGTGTATTGCCATCCATGTCTGGGGCATTGAGTGGGTATTTTGGCATGCACTCAATAAATAAGTCACATATAGCAGCAGCATTGTTGTCCTCACCGGTACGACATAGTTCGTGCAGGGGGTTACGCCCTTTGTGGTTTACGGCTTCGGCATTGATACTCGATTCGGTTAATAGTTCTCTTACGATAGCCAAATGACCACCACGAACAGCAATATGTAACGCGTTGTTACCCTCTCCATCGACAGCATCGTAATCAGAGCCATTTTGAAGTAGCGCAGAAACGGCAGGTAAATTACCACGCTCTGCGGCAATATGTAATGGTGTTTTCTGCACTGCATCACGTTCATTAATACGAGCTTCAGCTAGAATAAGATTTCTCGTTATCATTTCATTACGCGACGTTGCCGCCAAATGCAATGGCGTTGATTGGTTGGCGTCGTGTACACGTGAATTGACATCAACTTGAATAGCCAAAAGGAAAAGAACGCTCTCGAGGTCATCTCTCATAATGGCTAAATGCAAGAAGTTTCTGCCTCTTGAGTCCATTTGTTCGGCAGCATTTGGCAAACGATCTAGAATTCGTTGTGCGGCGCGGTGGTTTCGAATTGTTAGAGCAGCCGCAAACGGAGTGTTTCCATTTTTGTCACGAATTTTTAAATCAATTGCCGGATGGCAGAGCAAAATGGTAATGATTTCTTCGTGTTGATTTTCGATGGCAACATGTAGGGGGGTCTTATTTTCCGCATCTAAAGCATTTACATTGGCACCATGATCAATCAAGGTCTGTAGGACTTTTGTCAGGCCCCATTGAGCACATAAATGCAATGGCGATGCCTTATCTTTGGCTTCGTCTCCACCCTCGCCATTTGCGCCTGGCTGACGTGGAGAATCAAGATCGCATTGACTGCGGATAAGAAAAATAGCTGCAGACTCTTTGTTTTCATCTATTGCTCGATGTAACAAAGTTTGCTGGCAGCCATCTGGCCCAGGACCCCAACAATCAGTATCGACTCCGTGTCGTACTAAAACATGAGCCACATCGTCATATTCCAGCTCCAATGCAGTCCAAAGTGGCGCATCGCCCTTATTGTTAGGGGCGCTTAGGGCAACACCACGGGTACACAGAGCATCTACTACCTGAGGCATATGACAATGAATTGCCAACTGTAGTGGCGATTCTTGTTCTCCTGTTAGTGCATTCATATCTGCTCCCTGTTGTAATAGAAATACCGCCGTGTCTGAATCATGATTTAAAATTGCTTGATGCAGTAGCGTCATATCTTGTCCATTACGAGCATTAACATCGGCTCCTCCTCTTATTAATATAGGCACTAAATCTGTACGGTTTAAGAGTAAACTGAGACTTAATGGAGAATCGCCGTTTGCGTTTTTGCAGTTAAAGTTTGGAGCTTCCTGACCACCCTTACTTTGGGGTAAGTTACCATTGTCCCCTAATACAAAATTAGCAAATATCTCTATAACAGTAGCTGCATTTGATTCTACTGCCACGTGCAATGCTGATTTCAAATCAGAGACACTCGACTGTATGTTTGGAGAGGCACCCGCCCTAAGCAATTTATCTGTTAATTTTGGTAGATTTTTCTCAGCGGCTATGTGTAAAGCGGTCCATCCACGACTGTTTATATGATTTAAATTAGCATAATCAACAAGGAACACTGCAGAGTTTTCAAGACCACGTTCAGCCAAGACTTGCAAAAGATTATCATGAGTTTCCGATTTCAAGGGATTCGGTCTGGCACCCAATTTAATTAATTTATCTGCCAATTCCATGTCGTTGTCAGTGATTTTCGTGAGACTTAATTCCAGAGGGCATTTTTCATCATTCGTACGAATATTTATATCAATATTAGGTACTCCGAGTAAAATATCCACCATATCACGGTTGTTCGACGCTATAGCTAAATGTAATGGGGTTTGGCCTTGACGATTTTGCAAGTTAATATTTGGTTTCATAGATATAACTTTTTTACCAATTTCTATCATATTTGAAAATACTTCGGCATCCGTTTCTTTAGGATTATAGGCACATAAGATGTGTAAAACAGTATCTGCGGTTGATCTTGTAAAAAGATTCGAAAGTAAAAATTGCACAATAATATTAGTTTCATATATGCAATAAATAATTGAATGTAAGATAAATTAATTTATATTTTATGGATGTATAATATATAGCTAAATATAGACTTATGTATGTACATTAGAGTGGCCCCAAAATGGAAGTTGCTGATGTTCCCACCGAAAATGAAAATTAAGTTTATTCTAAGATTCTCAAAATATTTGTCCTGACGACAATATTTAGTGAGCTGGATCAAATCATAAAAACCTTTATTAAGGTTTTTATGATTTGGTTCGCTGGATCTTTGCTTGGCTGGCTCTTTTTATTATTAAAAAACAAAACAACTTACTCAACAACTTCTTTGTAAGAGAAATTGCAAGTAATTCTTTAACTCACTATTTGTAAGTGAGCGTGAAAGTATTTGCCTCCAATGACATCACCGTGTTAAAATAATGAGTTAAAATGCTAATGAAGAAGTAGCGAAATGAGGTTTCATTAGCTTTTTAACTCATTACTTTTCAATGTAAGTTTTTCCTGGGATGTTTCTCATATGAATTGTAATTTAATTTTTATCGAAAATAATGGACATACGTATGTTTTGTAGTCCTCAGTTCAAAAACCACGAATTTTGGATTGTTAGTCTTGGAGCGATATGTATGTATATGAGTCTCAAAAGCAATGACAAAAAAACAAAACAACTTACTCAACAACTTCTTTGTAAGAGAAATTGCAAGTAATTCTTTAACTCACTATTTGTAAGTGAGCGTGAAAGTATTTGCCTCCAATGACATCACCGTGTTAAAATAATGAGTTAAAATGCTAATGAAGAAGTAGCGAAATGAGGTTTCATTAGCTTTTTAACTCATTACTTTTCAATGTAAGTTTATCCTGGGATGTTTCTCACATGAATTGTAATTTAATTTTTATTGAAAATAAAGGACATACGTATGTTTTGTAGTCCTCAGTTCAAAAACCACGAATTTTGGATTGTTAGTCTTGGAGCGATATGTATGTATATGAGTCTCAAAAGCAATGACATCTAAAATTTCCTTAATTTGTAGGTGTATAATTTTGAAACTAACAAATTACCACGGAATTTAAAATTCTATTTAGTTGGTGTCAAACAAAACTTATTTCAAAAACAATAAATAAAAAATTTCTAAAATCGCAGTCTAATGTACATAACTAAACCATTTAATATTGCATTTTGAAAATCTTTGTCATTCATTTTTTTCAGATGAGTTATTATGAATGGACATAATATTACCTTGAGGTTAAATCTAATTCACAATTACGTTCCAGCAAAAAGTCTGCTGCAAATTTATCTCCCCTCTTAACTGCATCTATAAGTATAGTTGAACCCTAAAATAAATATTTGCCTTTGTGAATTGTTGATAACATCTAATAAATAACAAACCTCCGAGTCATAAGCATTTATATTAGCTGATCCACTTTTCACTAGCGTTTGGGCTATTGGTAAGTTTTTAGACATTAACGCCATTTGCAGGGGTAAAAGTCCTTGCTCTGATAGGCTGTTTACTAATTCGGAAAGCTGAAATCAAGAGAAAATATATAAATACTGCTACAAACACGCACATTATGGAAGCAAAAGTTCAAACGCCAATTAGTACTTAGGGTACTTAATAAAAATTAAGATAATCTTATTTTAGTTTGTATTTATTGTTTTCCATATAAATTTTAAGCTTCATGTATATTCATGTATTTGAACATTTCTTTTTACTTATATGTATATAGCACGGGATATATAAAAGTACATATAGCCCGGGAAAGGGCTGAACCCACTATCAAAGAATTTTTAATCGTTGTTATCTTCAAAAATTAAGGCTTCAGATATTAAAGGAAACTTATTTTGCAAGAATATATCAAAAATTAAAGTGTTTCTATACGTTTGATCCCAAAAAAATATCGACTTTGCAATGAAAGAAAATAGTCCCTAAAATGTACCATTATTACGTCCGAGTTCGGCAACTTCAAACGTCTAGTGCAAAATAATTCTTTCGATTAAGCTATGCAGCCATTTCCTACAAAACTACATGAATGTCAAAAATCTATTGGAATAAAATTATAAGATTATAGGCTATTAAAATCCAAAATTTTACTTAAATTGGTGAAATAGTTTTATAGATATTAAAAATAATTTTTTTTTTTTTGATCTTGGTGGGTTTAATTTAGGTCCAAAAACTACTGTGGACAATCAATAAATAATATTTAATTAATTGTTGAATATCATTATAGGGAAGAACCTCCGTCAACAGCCAAACTATTACAACAATAATATAAGGGCAGTTTAACGGTATGTTGTAGTATTACATCACTATTTAGCATTTAGCAAACAGAATTAAATTAAGAACAAATAAGTTAAAATGTTCGGAAATCTTATTATTAAATTTTATGATATATTTCATTTTTCGTTTAAATATTTTTCTTTGAAATAAGAATGAACTTGTGGTGAGACTTTCAAATGTTTTTTTCCAAGTTGAGTATACATATGTATATTAAAATAAATGTTTGACGATTAATAAACCTTTGGAAAAAACATTAATATACGAGTATAAGAAGAACTCGAGAAATAACATGTTGTAATCATAAAATAAATTTCTTGACTTTCATTTCACTTGATTTAAATAACTGAGTGGATAATGAACGTGCGGTTTTAGTTAAAAAAAAAATATTATATAAAAATATATTCCTATAGACATACATTACATAAGAGGTAAATTAAACCCAACATTTGTGAAATATGAACGACAAACCGGATAAGAATATCGCAGAATATGCGTCACCATTACACTCGTACGACAAGGCGCATACACACATTTTAAATTTTGAAATCGCTTCTGCAGCGGATGGCATTCGTTGATTACAATTTGGAAGCTCCAACTAACATGTAGAGCAAGCAAGCATTCGGTATTTAATTATACGTTGTTTTTAAATATTATGCGGACAAATTATTTTTTACTTAATTAAATTGAAAAGGCGATCTTTGAATAGCAAATTTATAAAGTATGGATTTAACTGGAGTTATTGTTGCATTTACCGTTATCAATATAATTGGTAAGTTTGATTTTTTCATTGAAAAAATATACATACATCTGATATTAATATAATCTTAATAGATCTAGGCACTAGCATCAAGTGTTTCAACTGTGCTGTAACAACGGAAATCTTAGCTATTGGATATGATCAAATTATTACACCATCTTGTTCAAATTTTGATGGGTCATCAAAATACATCCTCGACTGTCCATATTCTACAATGTGTTCCCGAATTATTTCAAAAAGGCATTTGCAGAATGGTTATGAACAACAAACAACAACAGTTGGATGTGCTCAGCAAAAACGTTTACGACATGTAAGATTAAAATAATGTTTTTAAAGCGATAAAAAAAAAAACAAATTTTAGCACACTTTAAAATGTACTTAAATTTTCCAGGTATTGTACAATGGTAAATGGAGGGAAGAATATTCTGTGGAAGAAGTGTATACAGAAGAATGCAAGACAATGAGTGATAGCAATCATTTATTTGGTACAACAAAAACCTATTGTTATTGTCGTGGGGATCTGTGTAATTCTCCACAGCAACGGACTGTTCAAACACATTTGTTCAATTCTGCACATCAACGACTTGTCTTTATCAGTGCCCACTACATTTTACTGTCCATTCTTGTAATAAAATTAATATTTTAGGTCATAAGATTAAAAATAATTATTCAGGGTTTAACTTTAACTTATATTTAAAAATTATGTATACATGTATGTATATATGCCAAAACAAATCTAAAAGTAAAATATTTTTATAGATGTAAAAAATAACTCTTACTTTCAAGTAAAACTATACTTTGATGTCAAATAACTTTTAGAGAAATAAACAAGTAAGAAATTATAGTCGGGCGAGGCCGACCATATAATACCCTACACCTTTGACAAAAATATAATGTGATTTAGTTGCCATAATAAAGCAATTAAATTGAATTGTACCTTGCCTTAGATATACATAAATACTTAAGCCGTTTATTGTTGAATAAAATTGTGGACATTTAAGTGAAATTTTGATGGGGGCTTTTCATAGGGGCTAGGGTCATATGAGAACCTATTATTATGGAATTCGTGGGGGTCATCAAGTCTTGTATACAACTTGGTTATTGCAGCTTTTTGTCGAGATATGAGTATATTAAACATAATTATGAACTTAAAAGCCCTATTCGGCGGGTTCAGTTGTATGGGGGCTAGGTGAAATAATGGACCGATGTAAACCATTTTCAACAGGCTTCATCTACGGTACCATAAAAGATCATGTGCCAAATTTCATTGAATTATCTCCAAAATTGCGGTCTGTAGTTTTATTACAAATTTTAAAAGCCCTATTCGGGCGGTTCAGTTGTATGGGGGCTAGGTGAAATAATGGACCGATGGTAACCATTTTCAATAAGCCTCGTCTACGGTACCATTAAAGATCATGTGCCAAATTTCATTGAATTATCTCCAAAATTGCGACCTGAAGTTTGATTACAAGTTTTAAAAGCCCTATTCGGGGGTTCAGTTGTATGGGGGCTAGGTGAAATAATGGACCGATGTTAACCATTTTCAACAGGCTTCGTCTACGATACCATAAAAGATCATGTGCCAAATTTCATTAAAATTTGTTTGATTACAAGTTTTAAAAGCCCTATTCGAGTGGTTCAGTTGTATGGGGGCTAGGTGAAATAATGGACCGATCTTAACCATTTTCAATAGGCTATTGTCCCTGGGACAATAGAAGATCATGTACCAAATTTCATTGAATTATCTTCAAAATTGCGACCTGTAGTTTGATTACAAGGTTTACATGGACGGACGGACAGACGGACGGACATAGCTAAATCGACTCAGAAAATGATTCTGAGCCGATTGGTATACTTTAAGGTGGGTATAGGACCAATATTATTGTGCGTTACAAACATCAGCACAAACCCAATATACCCTCCCCACTATAGTGGTGTAGGGTATAAAAATGAGATAATAAAAACATATTAAGAACCAGATTATTTAAAATAAATTAATATCATGTTGCTGTAACAGTTTGACTGTGGCCGATATTTCTTTCCTGGGGAAAAAACTTTCGTTTGATGTAACTGTCGCTGGGTTGACAGCGAAAATCCAATTGTCGTAGGAACGTATATGTTAATCCTCTTTATTGTCTTTAAAATTAAATTAAAGAGCATGACTCGAACAGTTTTTTGTAATTCTTAAACGATTATAACTTTATATCTAGTCGATCGATTGTCACTGTATTCAACAACATGACCTAAAAATCATACATGGGAGTAGTTAATTATATCGACTATTTAATTGACGATTTCATTAGCATTAAATTGAAAAAAATTATAATTATTTTTTTTTTCATTAGCATTATTTTGTCTAATGGTAATGCTTTTTAATGGAACGATTTCATTAGTAATTATTTTTTATTTTTATTTATTTAACAATATTCAATAACCTAGCCTATAGGCCATAAGCGGTTACAAATTTCTACTTCACAATAATTCCTCCAATACAAAATACATAATTATATATAAATAAAATTACACCTAATTTTTTTAAAAAAGATAATATACTACATAAAATAACGATAGGACAATTAAAATGTACCGCATTGATCATAAATAAATTCCTACATAAATTCCAATCAAACAAATGTAATTCAAAGAAGCAAAACAGGTTAAAATAAAGAAAAGTATATGAAGAAATCATAAACAATCCAAAAAATGAACTCACAGAACCAATCAATATGTCATACAGCAACTATATGGCAAATAACACTCCAGACTGTAAAGGACATAGGTAATACAAATCAGACAGAAACATGAAGCTATAAAACACCTATCAGCTGAACCTTCTGTGAAGAAATATAAGTCAATTGTAAGAAAGTTTTAAACTACCCCAAAAAATATCGACTCATGTAAAAGAATTTAAATACCAAAATTACCAATCAATTACATAATAAAAATTTCAAGACTAACTTTAAAAGAACAAAGTGAAAGACAATTCCTTAAGAGCAAAAATATATAATAGCAGAAAAAATCCTCACAAACACAAAACTCCATGCATACAATAACAGTCGCAAATCATCTTCCACCAAAACAGTCACAAGTAAATTCATCCAAATCAGCAATATTGACTGAGCAATCACAACATCCTTAAACCACACAACATTCCCCCATTTCAAAGCTAACAGAAATTTCCCAAAATTGGCAAACAATCTCAAAAAAAAAAATCATATCACAAATCAGTCAATACTAGATAAAAAACCTATGCATATTACTTGCAATTAAAATGATATGAACCAACAACAATAATTAGGCAACCAATAATACCAAAGCAACGGTCTAAAATACTTGCATTATAACATACCTTAAAAAGAAGCAAATAACAGTAATTAGTGAGTAATATGAGGGACTAATACAACATAAATCAAAATCTTATCAAAAAAAAAAAAAAAAAAAAAAAAAGGTCTCACATAAAGAACACAATGAACTACAAGATACCAATTTAAGAAACCCTGCATGTTAAATAAAATAATCAGTTAAAGAAAGTAAAAGAAAATACAAAGTTCCAACTTCTAATAATATAACAATAAGATATTAAAAATAATCTTGAATAATAAAAAAAACAATGAAGCAGACAACATCAACAATGTTCGAAGTATTAATCCAAACAACACAAATAATCCTCATCCAAGCAATTACAAGAAAAACACTAATGATACCTCATTTACATATACCCAGCAAATTTTTATCAGTCAACAGATATTCAATGATGCACCCACATATGAAATTACAAGTAATTGACAATTGAAAATAATGTATTCAGCAAAATCATTTAAAATTTCAATACAAATATCAATAACCACATAAAACAAACCATAAACACAATTATGACAATATCAGTAATTCATCATATTGGATAATCACAAAGACAGTTACTCTAGAATAGCAATAACAATATGAATGACAACACAATTCCAAAACCAATCTAAACATTCCAACCTACCAAAAACAGTATTATTTCATCAACGAATTTCCAACTGCAAAAGCAAATCAACATAGTTAATTCCTCAACATTACCAAAGTACCATCAAATGCAATAATAACACCACAACTCAGTCAAGTGATACTAATATCAAAAAGGTAATAACCAACAAAGGGAATATGCATGTGTTAATATCAATAAAACATACAATATTTCAATAATGATAAACCATTCACATAATAGAAAATATACAACAGAATACAATCTCTAATTTCAATTATAAACAAACTCCAGCTCATTTATCAGAAAAAAGCAAAATGCATATAAAGTTATAGTATTACAAGACTACTACCCACTCAGTAAACAATTCTCAAAAAATCCAGTCAAAAGACATCAACTTTACAATATGTTAAAAAATATACCTATTATACAGAATAAATATATAATACAGCAACCCTCCACTTAAAAAATGATTATCAACCATTATTTAACAGTAACAAAAAGTCTCCTAAAAATTACAAATTAATGATACTGCCAGATCATTATCAGTTAATTCAATACAAAAACCAGCATGTAAATATAAGAACAAAACCAAAAAAAATTAATTCTTAATGTAGCAAAATAGAATCTCAGTTACCTGAATAAAACAAAATTAAGCGAAGAAAAACTTAAATGCCCTAGTAAAATCCTACACAAGAAACCAGAAATTATTTAAAAAGAAATTTTCATTATCATTATTAAATGCATTTAAAAAATTTTTAAACATTAGTTCGAATTTCGAAATTAATTTCGAATATCCGAACATTATAATGTATTGTCATTAGGTGAAATCATGTATACCAAATTTCAGTACATTCGGAATAGAAGAACTAGTTTTAACAGCTTTAAAAATTTTTCGAACACGAGTTCGAATTTTCCAAATTTTTTTTTAGTTTTTATGACACAGATATTAATTTAAAAACATAAAAGAAATTTCGAAAATAACTTCGAATTTTCGAACTTAATTTCGAATATTCGAACATATTATTGTATTGTCATCAGATGTACTTATGACTGCTAAGTTTCAGCCAATTTGGGCTATGGGAACTGGTTTTAAAAGCTTTCAAACCTCGAATCTTCGAAAAATTTTCCTGAATTCTTATCAAATATATTTTTCGACAATTATAAATACTAATTAAATTCGTTTTTGAAAATTCATTATCAAATTCATTACCATTATCAAAAAAAGTTATAATGAAAAAAATATAATTTTCATTAAATGGTACTCAAAATATTTTTCATTAGCATTTTTTCTATAAATGGTAATGAAATTTTAATGCTTAATGAAAAATTCCAATGTATGCTAAAAATATATCTCGTAAATCTCATATACATATGTACATATGTATGTATATCGAAGGTATGAATACTTTATGACATGGACATTTTTGGACATTTATGGACATTTTTTTAGAATAAATTATTTATTTATGTAAAAATGGGAGACCGAAATAAAACATTTATTATTATAATCAATCTGGCTATTAACTGCAAAAAATTACGTGGACCTAGTTAATTCCTTGAGAAATTCCACATTTTGTAAAATATATCAGTCTTAAATTTAGAGTTTTTAATATTTTTTAGATTCTTTTTATTAATATTTATTCAAATAAGATCAAATAGTTAGATTATATAGTATTGCATTTCCGCGTAATTCTATTTGAATTTTTTAAATTATTTCTAATATTGGCGGTGATAACCATTGCAACATTTTGTTTTTGTACTAGTATTATTAACATTTCTGAAATAACTTTTAAACAAATAATCGGATTTCAGGCATAAAACCAGATACATAAATAAGCAATTTATTTACACAGAAAAAAATTTCAGCATAAATATTATGAACTGCTTTCATTGGCAAAAGTTAATAATATTTATAAATGAATTCCTAAATGGTATGAATTTTTTAATTTTTATTTTTCAAACATAATCTAAAGCCTTGACTTAAAATATTTCAATTTTAATTTAATTTTTCTATTTGTTAAAAATTTTTTT